TTCGGACCAGAGATTCCCTGGCGCCGGAAGTGAAGCTGGATCTGTTGCGGAAGCCAGAGGAGAGCGTGGAGGGCTTTGAGGAGTACGGAGACGGAGAGGAGGACGAAGATGGATGCGAGGAGAGACATTTTTGAAGGAAAAGTGGAGAGTGAGCCGGAAAATGTGAGCTTTTGTGTTGCAGAGTTAAGACTTTAAAACAGGCTGCTTGGCAACGATTGTTTAAAGTTTGGGTCAATCAAAACCGAAGGAGATTTTGATTTAAATTTAATTAAACAGTTTTTTATTCTGAACATTTTGTCTTCCCTGTTGTCTCATTGCACTCAAATAATCTCTTTTCTTTTCTTTTTTAACATCGGATTTGATTGGTTGATCTTGTTTTTACTGCTTCTTTCTTTTACCGCTGGGAAAGCGATATTAGGAAAGTCAACTATGGGGTGGGCGATCTGTGCAAATTGTTTAGCCACATTGATTTTTCAGAGTAAGTATGCTCAACAACAATTATTGGCTGTATTAATTTATGGTTTACCGCTCTTTTATTTGATTTTCTTAAAAATATATATATATAATGGAGATTTGCATACCTATCACCTAAATCCTATGTATTGATATTAATCATCTAAATTTTAATTTTTACCTACAGATCACCTAATTTATGCTGAAGAAATAGGAATAAGATGATTTGTATTTTAAAAAATTAAAGTTTGGGTGGTTCATATTTTAGACCATAAGAACGGTGTGATAAGTATGTAGAAAGCCACTCTTTCAACTATGTGTTGTAGTGCGGCAAATTTAAATTGTTGCTGTGAGCACTAAACTTTAAAGAGACGCTCTTAATGGGGGCGATTCATTTGCCAATCAATTTCACCTGTATAATTTATTGGATGGATGGAATATATTTGGCAAGATTCCTTTTTTAATATAATGTTCATTTCAAATAACATATGCATGTAACAATGTTTTCAATGTATGAATATTTGTTCTTATTTTTTAACATAATTTTTTTTTTTTACTTTTTATGCAATTAGACATCTCTTAATTGCTTCAACAACTAATAATTTGACATGGAAGAAAAATATTAAAAAATTTTCATATTTAAACTTTCAATCAAATCTTTATCTTCCTTCCCCCCCTCTTTTCTCTATAAATAGAGCTCTCCATGGATGCCAAGTGGGTCATTTTATGGTCTCTCTCTCTCTAATGTAGAGAGCTTGCTCCCTATCCCTCTCACTTGTAATCTAAATTTGTGTGGAATAAAAAAAGACCACCCTATTTGCCCCCAACTTCTTATACTTTATATCATTCTCTTTCTCCACCCCCGGAATCCGGCTCTATTTCTTGGGCATAGTCTAAATTAGGACAGTTTATTTTTAAGTTTTTTTTTTTTTTTTTTACTTTTTTATATTTGAATTTAAAATAAAATAGTTTAACCTATTAAAAAACACATTTATTTTTAAATGTCGGTTTTACACCATACATTTTGTTACTTTAAAAAAATAAATATTTACTGTATTTTCACATATTATTTAATTTTTTTATAAGAAGCAAATTTATTCCGAAAAATTCTCAAAATAAAAAAAATCTTAAAGTTATTTTAAGTATATGAAAACGAAATTAATTTATTTTAACATGTCAAATACATTATATTACAAATCAATCTATATATATATATATATATATATATAGTAGAAAAAATAGAGTTGATTCCGAACCTCCTCTGATTTTTAAAATAATTTAATTTAATTTTAAGAATAAAATTTTTAAATAAATTAAAAAAATTAAAAATGAAAATAAAAAATAATCTCAAAAGTATTAGAACTATTAATTAACAGAAGAGATGAGACGTAAGAAAGAAAAAAATAATATTTTTAAAAATAAATTTCTATATTACATGTTTTCTCGTTTTATTGTGTAGTTAAAAATAATAATTATAAAAAGAGTATATTTCAAAAATCAGACTAATTTGCACTTGTGAATCAGCTTTGGCGAGTCAGATAATTACCGTTACATTTCAAAACTAAGAAGGTCTCAGATTTTATTTATAAAAATAAATCTCAAGCCCTCCACAGTTTATTTTCTTCATGCATAAGGAAATAGTTTGCACAGTCGCTCACCACTGAAGCCGAGATGAGTGCTTGCCGCCACCAGGCGGGCCCGCCCGCCTGGCTTGAAGAACAAGCTTAAGCGTCCGGCGGCCACCAGCACCCCGTACGCCGCACTCCAAGCACACGTGCTTCAAATTCCCGTGGGCGGAGACATAGCAGAATCCATCGCGGCTTTTGCTCGTGGCTGCCCTGCTTTGGGAGTATGCGTTCTCTCATCCTCCGGCCGTATTGCGACGGCCGTGTTGAGGGAGGCGTCACCTTATTCCTCAACGCTCACGTTCCTCGACGCTCACGTTCGGTGGAAGCTTTGATCTGCTTTCAATGACGGCCACTTTTCTTCCCGGAGGAGGCATAAGAAGTTTGGTTGGGTGGGGTGGTGGCCGGACAATTGGTCGCAACGGGCATTGTCGTTGGTGTAGGCGCCACCTTCGCATCGCCGGCCTTCCACCGCATGGATAACATAGATATTACCCGGAAGACTATGTCCGAACAGCTGGTCGCAGCGGGCATTGTCGTTGTGGTAGCTGCCACCTTCGCATCGCCGGCCTTCCACCGCATGGATAACATAGATATTACCCGGAAGACTATGTTGCCCGTTATCGAAAACAAGGAACGAGTTATGTTGCACAAGTGTTTGGCGGAAGTTGAACGTGATCTTGGTCTGCAGGAGGCGCCGATGATCATAGGCCGCAACGAAGAGAAAGAAGTAAATGAAAATAAGCTGAAACACATTTTAAAAGAATTCGAGCAGTGTATTGCAATGCCGACGGCCATTAACGGTGGTTCGAGAGGAGGAGATGTCGGAGCAGAAAAGATGGACCTGGACGGTGAGTGTGTAGTTAGAGTATCAGAGATGTTCGAACAATATTCTGACGGCTCGACGATAATTGATTGTTCGTTTGGGAGCGGCCATCACGATTTCGGCGGATATATTGCATTCGATGCGTTTGGATCTTCCGCTGCGCTATGTTAAATTGACAAATGCAAATTAGAGAAGTTAATCAATATTCAGTTTGCATGCTTGTTATACTTTTTTTTTTTTTAATAAAATAGTAGTTTTATTGTGATTCTGTTATGATTTGTGTTTTGATTTACTGTTACCAAATAGTTGCTACAAATTGGAATACTGGGCTTGAGTTTTTGTATATAAAATCAAGAAATGTCGCTAGATCAAGGCGGCGCTGGATTTCACAAAAGCCTTTTTTTTTTATTGGAAACCAATAGTTGTAGCTGACATTCGTGCAACTGTAAAAACAGAAATAGCTGAGACGTTCAATTAAGAACCCTTTCAACTAGCAGCATTTTCTGTTAATTATTATTCCCTGCAGCAGATTTCTATAAAAAAGAAAAGCTAATCCTATATATTATATATGAAATAAGAGAAAAAAAGTAAATTTCCGAAATATGATCATAACATGTATATTGAATACAAAGCTCCATGAACAACTGTACTATTTAAACTCCCTGTGTGTTTTTCTGTGGCTTCCTCAAATCTCTATTTTGATAAAACGATTTTTGATATGAAATATATGATTGGTATAAATGTTAAAAGTTAAAGCTTTGGTGCTAGATATGTAAATAGATAAGAATTGCGTGGAAATGCATGTAAATGCTCCTATTGACAATAGCAAAAAAATCAGGGGATACGATGTTTTATTTTCTACAGGGCAATACAAAAGAATACAAATGTTTTGAATCGTTAGTGTTACTAGAATTGATTAGAGATGAGTAGATGAATAGTCTAGACCCCCTTAAGATCAGATATAGCAATTATAAACATAGCGGAGTCCATCTAAATGCTGAAGAAATTGGATTAATTGTTAGCCTCAGGAAGCCTTCATTTACTTTTAGAAATATTCCAAATAATTTTTCAACGTTTGTTTCAGCCTGTTTTCATTTTTTTATATGAAAAATAAATAAATTTTCATTGTATTCTTTCACATATTTTTTTAAAATTTATTAAAATAATTCATTTTATTCTTAATAATATGCAATTAAAAATAAATTATTTATAAGATTTTTTTAAATAAATTAATTTATTATATTTATTCAAATTAAAATATTTAAAAATAAAAATTATATAAAAGAGAAAAAAAACTAAAATTGAGTCTAATTATGACCTATAATATGTTTTGATCATTTTGAAATAAATTGATTTATTTTTAATTGAAAAAAAAAAATTTATTTTTGGGTCTTCCATTACTAATTTATACTTCGTCTGTAATTTATATTATGATTATGATGCTTCCATAATCAGACACATTCTCCTTTTTTTGTGTCTTTCTCTATAAAACTTTATTAATAACCTTCCTAAATAATAGTGGAGATTCTTCACATTCTGAAATATGTTGGAACTAAAAAAATATGATTATGTTCATATTCTTTGTAGCTATCTTTTTAAATATTTGCTAGAGCAGTGCCTGCACACGAATACCACTTACAAAAACTACATGCAGAGAGGAACTACTGTTTGTTTTTCTATGCACTTCTTTTTGTTGAATTAGTTTCATCTTCTCCTACATGGAACAAATAAGACCACTTTTTTTAGTTGATATTACTTTGTATTTGTTATGTTTCCCAACTAATTAATGATCCATGGTTTTACACACAAAAGTCATATTTTTTAATTTCTCACGACCATGCACTCAAACATTATGATTCCAATTTTCAAATGTATTGAGTTTTGTCTGAAGCTTATCAATAAATGCCATGCACACAATTAACTTCAAATGGTACACTTTCCTGAATTAAGAAAATAATACAATTAGTCTTGCTTGTTCATGCAACAAAAAATATAATGCAATTTATGCTGTAATTATGATTAATTTCTCATTGTTTTTAAGAATCAGTCAATTGCTACAGTATTGGGTTTAGGCTCTGCCCTCAAGTTTACCAAAAGTAAGGAAATACTGACTTAATATTAGGTGGAGCAGTCCTATGATTTCATCGGTAAATATTGTAATCCATCTAATCCTTCAAATTTGTGACTCGTATAATCGTATTAGAGATGTCTCAGACTTATAAGTGGGCAGACTACTGGATAAAATAATTAACTAATGGTTGTCTCACGAGGCCTTTAAAATAGTTCTAATTATTTGTATTCTCTTGTATTAATCTGAAAACCTTTGCATTGGCCTGATTCTTAGCTTAGTTGACTAGGGGCATTTAGATTCATACCACACATTTCTT